CCAGGTACTTGTTTGAAACAGTTTTTGTTTCATATATTCTATACTCTCTTCTATGTATGTCACAATTTTCGCATACTCACTGGGAGTTCCTTACTTATTGAGCGCCCATCAGAAAGCTACCTCAAGTAACTCCATTGTATGCTTTCTTAAAATTTCCTTTCATTTTCCAGCTTTTTTTTGTTATTTTGTATATATATATTTTTTTTTTACTATTTTTCCCCCGAATAATCACACTCTCTTATCTTTTGATTTCTATGTCTTTCTCTGATATTTTGGTTTCCGTTTGTTTCTTACTTTAATGTCCAGTACAATTAACTTATATAGTTGACTTTTCTACTTTTGTAAGTCTTTACTATAAGGCGAAGCACCAGTACCTGACACTCTAAAGCCAGAAAGATACATTTTCTGATATTAAAACGTTAATTTTACTCAGATTGTTTTGTTTCCTTAAGCAAAATGTATGATTAAGCTTATTACTAATTGTACATGCGAAAGGGGATTTGATTTAAATAAAACTTTTGCAGAATCCAAAAAAATACCCAATACCTGACATATATCAAAAAAGCTATTTAAATAAAAAAAACTTATTTATTCAAATATCTAATTAAAAGAGGAAAACTTTATTATTTCTGGAACTCTGTACATTCCACGATTATTTAAGTTTGCTGGTTCATTGATCTTCTCCACAATATCAGTATGATCATACCATATTGCATTCTCTTTATTTGTCAATTTCCACGAATTAAAGTTGCTGTTTACCATAACACTAACAAACGCCTTATTTTCTTCTACTATTTTTATTTTCCTGGGTAGTGTTGATCTTAATAAATAACAATAACATGGTCACCTTCTTTTAAATGAGATTTGTTGAATGCTGGAACAATAGCTGGAATGTCATCACTACTATCAGATTCCAAATTTAATTGCTCATCAGATAGAGATGTTTCAGAATCTGAATTTTCCTTGAAATTTCGTTTTGTTTTTTGTTCTTTTTGTCTCGTTTTCATTTTCGCTCTTGCTTTTCCTGGTCTTTGAATTCTTTTTTCCATTTTTTTCTTTAAATGGTATTGTTTCCACTGAGTGGAAGTTGCAACAGAAGGCAACTTTTCACCGACTCTTTTTTTGTTTCTTTAAAACATGGTTTGTCTGACCAAAACAATGCCTTCTTATATGGAGTAGGAATTTTTTCCATCAATTGGTATATTTGGTATATTGGTATATATTTTCAGGAGATCTTTCAAGGACACTATGTTGTAAGTTTTCTAAAGTAGTTGTATCGTTTACATTAAAATCGAGTTCAACAACTGCAACATCGCCACCTGGTGGATTATTATCCGTATCAAAATGTGGTTGTGGATCTTTATCTGTATTACATTTATCCATGTTGCTCTCCTTGTTATCTGAACGGTCTTCTTCTGTTATTGAGATTTCATGGTCATTTAATTTGGGAACGATAAATGTGTTGAGTTGTTTTTCTTTTTTGATATTCAGCCAAACTTGAAAAAGACTTAAATGTTGTACGTTCCACTTATCCGAGTCTGCTGCATTAAATTCTTGTAACAAGCCAGGGTCAAGGTAGGTCTCTAAAATTTGATGAAATTTTTTTTTCTTGTGGAGCTTCTTCTACGGGGAATGGGTTTTTGTGAATTTCTGTATTACTTGATTTGAAATATTCAGCAGCACGAAATCCATTCAATATAAATTAGTGGAGTAATGGAATTCTCTATGACTTTTGCTAGGACTGGTCCAAAATTCTCTTTCTTCATTTTTAAACCATTGTTTTGTATTCTCCAATTGTTTACTTCATTTCTCCAGCAATTATTTAGGGGTCTGCTACATCCATCGGCTGCGTAATATGTGCCGAATTAGAATGCATTGCAATAAGAATAATTTTTCTTTCAGTACAGAGATCACTAAGAGGCAAAGTCAAGTGACTAGAATATCCATCGACGAAAAATATAATTGGAAACTCAATTTCATTTTCCACAGCCCAAGGATAAAAAACGTTTGTTATATACTCATAGAAAGTTTCCGCGGTCATCCATCCACTTTCACTTTTACCAATTGCAAAACATTTTGGCATAGAAGCAGATATAGCCGGTAGAAATCCTTTCATAAGCAAACATCACCATGCCTGGGGCAATGTTTCCTGCTGCGTTTGCTGTCATAAGAACAGTAATGCACTCTTTCTCATCATTTTTAATCTCCCTTTCGTGTAAGAACTCGGATTCATGTAAAAAGCCGACTCATCAGCATTGAATACTCGTTTAGGATAATTAAAAATATCGTAATAATTATTCTCCTCAAGGTATGATTTATGTGTCATCTCTGTATGTCTTTGTAGAAAGCAAGAATACCACTTTTTTCAGGTCTTCTATTTTTGAAATTATCTTCACGTTTGTTAAGTTTGAAAGTTAATTCTATAGAATCAATGAGCTGAAGCTTTATTTCTGGAAAACCATGATCAGGACCGGAGGCTATGTTTGCTTGTGGAATATATTACCTCAGGAAAACTCAAAGGTCTCTGTATTTTTATGGATTGAAATATTTTTTGGACGTTTTATTGCCGAATACCTTGTCTATCAGCATCATTTGCTGCACGATTTAACCAATACACTACCAATGCAACCAAAGTAGAATATTACCCCGCACCCGCTTATATTCCCTTCGTAGTTTAAGGTCTCATAATTTCACTCCCGATGATATATCACTCTCATAATTTCACAGAAAAAAAAATGAAGCTTATGCAAAAATGCTTACCCGCCGAACTAGAACAAGTGTAGAGAATTACCAGACAAAGAGAAGAAAAGAAAATGCACAGAATGGAGAAACGAATCCACTTAAAAAAGGAACTTCAATATATAGAAAACCTTAACAAGAGAATTCAGAACATTCTATAAGAAAGTTAACATCAACAGAAAAGAATTCAAGGCAAACACAAAGATGGACGGAATATTTGAACCAGATACTTAATATAGAGGACGAAGAAGAAAACCCGGAAGACGAAAGCTGTGAGGTAATAGGAGCAGACGAGAGGGAGGAGAATCCACCAACGATCCTGAAAGTTAAAGACGCTGTAAACAAACTAGCCAGAAACAAATCACTCGGAATAGATAATCTCCCAGCGGACTTATATAAAGAAGGTGGCCACGATATCATAATAGCGCTACAGCAGCTTATAAAATAAATATGGATACAGAAGTCCCTTCCCAGTGATTGAAATATTGGAATACTTTGCACCATACACAAAAAGGGAGATATCTTTGAATTCTCTAACTATCGAGGAATTACGCTCCTAAATGCAGCGTATAAAATATTCTCCAATATACTATGCCATCGTATGGCACCATATGCAGAGCGAATAATAGGACAATACCAGGCTGGTTTCAGAGGTGGTAAATCAACAATTCATCAGATTTCAACCCTGAGACAAATTCTAGAGAAAACACTGGAATACGATGTAGACACGCACCACATATTTATAGACTACAAGGCAGCCTAGACTCTGTAAATAGAAGAGAATTGTTTAGAGCAATGATAGACCTAGGAGTACCAAATCAGTTGGTAAGTCTAACCAAACTAACCCTTGAAAAAGTTGAATGCAGAGTACGAATCCAGGGGGAACTCTCTGAACCTTTTAATACAAATAACGGGCTACGTCAGGGGACCCACTCTCCTGTATACTATTCAATCTAGCTCTGGAAAAAGTAATACGTACGTTACAAATCACAACTACCGGTTCAATATATAACAAATCTGTGCAAATCCTAGCATATGCTGATGATATCAATATTGTTGGGAGCCGTAGGTAGCACTAAAGGAAGCGGCTACAAAAATGGGTTTAATAATAAACATTAATAAAACGAAATACATGAAAATAGGTCCGCAACCACAAATACTATGACCACTTGTTATAAAAAACGACGTCATCGAAGCAGTTAACGAATTTGTATACCTGGGAACGCTCGTCAATACTGAAAATGACACTACCGTAGAGATAAACCGCAGAATTTGCACGGCTAATAGATGCTATTTTGGGCTTAATCTCCTTTTTAAATCTACAGTTATATCAAGAAATACAAAAGTAAAACTCTACAAAACAATAATACGTCCAGTCATAACATATGGTTCAGAAACCTGGACTTTAACAAAAAGCAATGAAAACATGTTAGGATGTTTCGAAAGAAAAATACTAAGGCGAATCTATGGAGCGGTAAATGAAAATGGTGTCTGGAGAAGACGATACAACTTCGAACTCTATAGAATATACCAGGAACCAGATATCGTAAAACACATTAAGATAGGACGTCTGAGGTGGGTAGGCCATGTAATGCGGATGGAGCAAACCGACCCAGCTAGAAAAACGCTCCTTGATAGACCTATTGGTCAAAGAAGAAGAGGAAGACCCAGAACAAGATTCCTAGATAACATAGACCCAAGATGATGATGATAAATTTCACTCCCTTCGTACCTATAAAACATTGTCTGTTTTTTTGTTAGTTATATGTTTTCTTTAAAAATTTCTTTTAGTAATGTATATCTTTCAACACTGACTTGTTATCGAAAAGGATGAAAACTGCCTTTTCGATATATTATAGAAAGTCACTCATTAAATATTAATTGCTATTCTGATCTACAGGTGCTCCGGCAAGTTTTCCCGTTCAACAGGAAAATCTTCCACTACAGAAATATTTAGAATGGTCGGATAATATCGAGAAAAAAGCCGAAAACTTCATTAAAAAGGTTCTTCCAAAAGGAGCTTTTATAGGTATTCACCTACGCAATGGAATTGACTGGGTAAGAGCATGTCAACACATTCCCGAAAGTCCTGGTCTTTTTGCAGCTCCTCAGTGTCTAGGTTATAGAAATGAAAAAGGTCCGGCAACTTCTGACATGTGTTTACCAAGTCAAGAAATGATAATTAGGCAGGTAAAAAGGGTTGTCAAAAACATTAATAATTCTGTCAATAATAATAATGATCGTACAATTAAGTCACTTTTCGTAGCAGCTGATAGTAATCACATGATCGATGAACTTAAATCTGGATTGCATCGAATGAAGGTCAAAGTTTTCAAATATCCCGAATCGGATCCCCATGTCGATTTGGCAATTTTGGGAAAGTCAAATCATTTTATCGGAAACTGTATATCATCGTTTAGCGCTTTTGTCAAACGCGAAAGAGATGTGAAGGGATTTACGTCTTCATTTTGGGCGTTTCCAACACAAAAAAATAGTAAAACGAGTGCTACTCACGAAGAGTTATGATAGCTTTGTACATGTTTAGGACAACTTCTATACTACGTTCCACGTTAAGAAAATAACATTGCGGAGATAGGGCCATGTATTTCTTATGGACGATAGAAACGCGGCGTTGCCACGACACATACAAGCACAATTTAGGGTTTTATAATTTGTATTTTCGTTTCCACAGACATGAATTAAATTAATGTTTTTTAACGTAATTGACAAAAGTGCCCATTCGAAACAAGAGATGAAAAGTAGGGAAAATGATTTAAATTATATAAATAGTATTTACAAAAGATAATTTTATTTTATCTTATTTTAATTATAGTAACGACAGTTTATTTGTTTTTCGGTGAGAATACCATATACCATGAATCAGTAGAAAATATTGCTTAGTTAAATCATGCATTTTGCCGCCTATTAAAGTTTTAAAAGCAAATAAACGGACCGCTTGAATGCGTATATCTAATTACTAATTGCAACTTAAAATAATACGATGTGCGTATGTCAGCGATGTTATGTCGTTATCTGCCTACATAATGATAATAAGGCTTTTATTTAGTAGTTATTCTGACTTTACAGTTAACTGTTAATTGAAAATGAAAATTCAAAAATTAAGCAAAGGGAATATCTTGGACATCCGTGCAAAAGAGAGGGCTTGAGAGTTTTGGCAACACTGATCTCCATAAGCGTAATGTTATTTTCTTAACTTGAAACAAAGATTAGATGAAGTGTATGCATGGACGTATAAATACGTCCATGAGTGTATGTTAACAAAAGAGTCGTAATTTTGTAACTAAACAATTTTTATTTCATTCAAACATATTTTTGAATATCAGCGATTGAATAAAATTGCACAAGTATTGTCTAGTCTTTTCCAGGGTTGAAATGTGGAGACTTTTTGATTTGGTCTGAATCCACTTCAGCCTATTGGTACAATTTATGGCAGATCAATCTTACAGCTCACTTATTTTACGTGCAAAAGACTTTTAATAGTGATCATTTTAAAGCTTATTTCAAGTACTACAAAACCCTTTTTTATTAGAATGCATAAAATGCATCTGTTAGCCGCTAGATGGCATTGGTCACATCGATTAAATTTCAGACAAAATAAAAAATCAATATAAGGTTGAATGTTCGAATAATTAAACTTTGAGGGTATACAAGGCAACTATCGAACACGGTGATTAATTTAATCTTGCCAAGTACTTTCGATCAATAGATCATCTTCAGGGGCATTTCGTCAGTTGTGGCCTATCCGACATAGTAGAATGTCATAAATGTAAAATTTGGACATAACAATAAAATACAATACACTAAGACAAACAAACACTTTAAAATTTATAAGGAGAAGCTACATGTTGTATAGAAGCCGGAGACAGAATGATGTCATTCTTATGATCACAGCTACGAAATAAAATCTCGTATTGAAAAAGCCAGAAGCTCAATACATGTACATCTAGACACTGATGATGGAATATGGATTACGAAAACGTTTTACGTATATACCTTTTACAAAGGATTTTTAATATTTTTTTTAGTATATGGTATACAGCCAACTACAGGAACGTAGATTCCTTGTGGAATTTTATTATTTGATAAACTTAACTAGATATTTGATAAACTTTAATTATTTTATTATTTGATATACTAGATTTGATTATGCAATCTACATTTTTTTGTTAACATACACTTCGAATGCAAATTTAAAAATATATAGGAACAAAATATATTGCACTTTTTTCATAGTGGCAACTATTATTATAGACTGAAATATACTCAAACACTGAGCAAAAAATAAAATTGTATAAATAATTTTTTTTATAATATTTGACACAGTTTATTAATTCGAATATTATTTAGTATCGAATAGAGAAATGTTATTATTCTAGACTTATTGTTCAACAGAAGACATTTTGTATTCCTTTGTGCTGTTATCTTTAAGCTGTTAATGTTATTTATGGTATATATTTATTTTGGGTTAATGAACGAGAAAAGTCGTAAAAATGACTTTTTTATAATATAATGATTGCCGTGATAATAATCCCAACTTGTTTTAACAGTTTATATTTCAATTAACAATTAGAATACAATGTTATCCTATAGGTTAATGACTTTAGAGCACATCACTGGTCATATTTGACATGGTAAGGTCTTCTCCATCGATAGTCATTGACATGATAAGTCTCTTAAATAGTTTTGTAGGTCTGCTGGTCAATTTCTCTTGAGTCTTCTGGTTTGGGCTATAGTAGTGGGTGAAGTAGCAAATTTGTGTGGGTTTCTAATTTGTTATGATGTTTTGTTAACATACTGTATTTTTAGGTATTCGTGTGATGTTTGATTGGAGACATACATGGTGTATCTGTTATCATGCGGAGTGTTTTGGATTGAATAAGTTGTAAAATAGAGATGTTCTACTTACTTGTGCATCTCCATAGTTCCGCCCCATATGCCCAGATGGGTTTTATGATTGTTTTATAAATAAGAAGTTTGTTTTGTAGTGATTCTTTCGACTGTCTACATAATAGCCAGTAAATATCTTATTTTTAAATGAATTTTTTTGCGTTTTTTGAGAATTTATTCTTTACAGGTTAATTCGCTGTCTAGGTGAACTTCTAAACATTTTATTTTTGTGGATTGTGGTATTTGTATATATTGTTTAGGCACACTGGTTCGTCACCGATGATGATGATGATGAGGTACACTGGTAGGCACTAGTGCTTCGTCAGGGCCAAGGTAACTTGCACATATTTCGTTTCAATAATTTTGATTTTCCATGTTTGCAGTCATGTTTGTATTTGATCCAAGTAATCTTGGAGAAGTGCAGAAGCTCTTACTGAATTTACGTGTCATCAGCAAATGCAGTCTCTCTAGTAACACGGAGTGCTATAGGATTGCCCTAATAGCACTTCTTTGTAGGGACACCGAATTTGATAGGAAAACTCTCTGATATATTTTCATTTAATTTTGTTCTATACTCTCTGTCACTTAGATAAGATCTTAATAATTTGAAATATGTGATGGAAGATACTTTTTTACCTTGCATAATAATTTTGTATGCCATACCTTGTTAAAGGCTTTACGGACGTCTAGAAAAATCTTTATTGGTTTGTATTACCAATAATTCTGTGGACTTGTTGAACAGTGTGAGTGTTTCTATCTTAAGTCAAACTGGTGGTTTGTATCCATTTGTGAGTATCAGGATCAGAATTTATTCTTTGTAGTAGCAGTCTTTCAAGTATTTTGGGGATAATGGGTAGTAAACTTATTGGTCGATATTATGTAACAATATTTGGACTTTTGCTAGGTTTCATAATGAATAATTATTTGTGTGAGTTTCAGCATTTTAGACCAGTAGTTGAATCTTTAAATAATCATTAAATATTTATGGTGCTTTTCGAAGATTTAAGTACTTAATAATAAACTTTATTTATTCTTGTACTGATAGTGTTTTTATGGGTAGAATATTTATGGGTATTTGGGATAATTCCCTTGTTATCTTATCATATGGTATTTTTAGTCTTGATTACTGTGGCAAGATGTTTTGCATATAGTCAAGCTTTTTCTTCATCTGGCCCTTCTACACTTCTGGCCCACGGTTTCCAGATATAATTGTCATATCGGTTGAGACTTGTGAGGTAATCCGTGAATGAACTTTCTCGATCAGATTTTTGGAGTAGAAATAACAACATTCTGCAGTAAATTTAAATTTACAGTAATAACGAAAAGCGAACCGACTGTATGCAGTCCAACGATACTCTACCGTACGTGTTATTTCTGAAGATACTGTATCCACTCATTTGAACAGTAGCATTCTTAATCTTCTTCCAGTTCCAGTTTTTGTGAAATATAATTGATGTTAGCTGGTGTGGAAAGTTGATTTCCCAAAACACAGGAATTTTTTTTGCTTGGGTACGATATATTGGCACTTACTACGTGAATTGAAGTTTCTTTGAACGACTTTCTATTGAGTTTCCCATTAAACGACTTCTCATTATGCTCAAAAGTGTAGTGTCGCATTTCCGATTATTAATAATTTTGTACTTTCTTAGTCGGTCTGAATAAAGGGAGAGTTTTTTTTTAATGTATACAGACCCCGTGTTGTGTTTTATATCATATTATCAAAAGTGTCTTTCAATGCTCAGCATTATTTCTTCAGTTCTTCTGATTACTTTTCTACTTGGTTATTCCTCGAAGATATTCATAATCTGATCAATATCCCTACGCTATAATTCAATCCTTCTTAGCATCCGTTTTCCCAGGTTGCAACAATTAATACCCATAACATTAGCAATTGCTGTTGCTGCATATACAAATATTCCAATGTATGGGCTTCTATGACATAATTGGGTAGGATTTAAGTGTTGACAATTGGTAATACCGCATGATATCTTGTACGGTACGTGCCATTTCGCTTACAAGGCTATCGTGCAACTCATTGTTGTCCTGCTATGTATTATCAGGTTGAATTTCTTGTCAAGCTCAGAAATCTGGGGACTTGATCTACAACTGCCTCTTGGTTGTAAATCTCCCATTCGACTGCGCTTCTGATGGCATCGCTTTAGACTCTGGGATAATATTGTTTCTTATAATTACCTAGCATTGATCTGCTATTCACTGTTCATATACTTGAATCTCTATGTACTTTCCGCAAAATTCGGCATACAGATATTGTCGATAGCCGATAGTTTCTTGACCGAGGTTTGTCACCTTGTAATAGGAGTGCAAAGTGTTTCATTCATGGACACAGTCGATTTCATGTACTGTTCGGTCGTCCCGGGTGGGTGAGTGCTGGCTGATGTTCCATCTCAGCATATTCAGCGAGTATTCAGTTGTTTCTCTTGCTTGTGGTTGCTGATTTTAAACTGTAGCTGATTGTATGATAGGGACCCGTCTCCCTAACCGCTGCCACTCACGTCACATATGCCGCCACGTCCAGCGTTGATTCCAGAAGTGCTCTTGCCATCTCCAGGCAGCGACCCTAAGCACATTATTGTTGATCCTTTTCATGGGTGTTCACTTTATACCTAATGACAGGTGTCAGTTTTTGTTCGACGACAAGTATCCCTGCTAACCTGTGGTTATCTGGTTAATGTTTGTATTTTGAGAACTATTTCCGCAGTGGATATTGAAACGTCACTAAACTTATTTTAACCATGTTGTGGCTTATTCCCATTAAAATAGTAATTTCTTTGGTTATCGAGGTTATCTAGGAATATCTAGAAGGTATTCCTAGATAGACCCCATTTGCAGGAGGTCCTGCCTGGTAGAAGAACTAACAAAAACTCTCACAGGTAGCTTATTTATTATTACTGTTTTAGAAATTCATAATATCATCGACTTTATATAGCTTTCTTCTTCTTCTTAGGGTGCCTGTCCGTTCCGAACGTTGGCGATCATTCTAGCTATGATAACTTTGTTGGTTGCTATACGAAATAGCTGTGTTGAGGTCTTTCTATACCATGCTCTAAGGTTAGCAAGCCAGGATATTCTTCTTCGTCCTGGAACTCTTTTTCCTTCAATTTTACCCTGCAAAATGCATTGGAGTAGCTCGTATCTGCCTTGATTTCTCATTATATATCCCAAGTACTCCAGCTTACGGCTCTTCACAATGTTGACCAAATCCGCGGTTGTGTTTATCCTCCGCAGTACTTCTTCATTGGTGAATATAGCTTTACCTTATTTAATAGTTATTGATGTGACACTCACTCAAGACTTTCTTGTAATCAACACAGGCAGTAAAAAGCGTTTTGTTGATGTATGCCTGGTTAGAGGTTAATGAGTTAGAATTGATAGATAATTATTTTTTGCGTGTCCATGAAGCTACCAGTAAATGACCAATTTGTACATAGTTGGAAGACATATAATTTGACAATTCTTGGCTGCATCTTTTGAAAGTTGTTTTGGTCTTTCGGTATTAAATAAGTTATTCCTTGAGTAAGACATTCAAGAAATGGTATTTCGTGTGGATTAGGAATAGTATGAATAATGAATTTTTCTAAACACTCATGAGCAATCCACAGGTTATTTAGCCAGAATTTGAGAACCGCCTGGTTCTAAAGATTTCCAGCTATTTTTATTTATTATATACAATTATTATTATACACAATTTAATATATACAATTATTATATTAATACAATACACATTTATAGAAATTATATATTATTGGAACATTTTGAATTTTGTTGAGATTTTGCAAGGATACAAAATTTCACCAATTTGGGTTAGGCAACACTCAACGCATTTTAACGTATTGGTAGTTATCGCATAGTCGTTACCAAATTAAGCTATTATTTTGATAATATTTATTGATATAGTTAATAAGTTGTTATTACAATTGTTTATCAAAGTTTCGTTTTTTACACTGTATTTTTATAGATATAAATAAATATCACGCAAATTGGATGTGTTTTTTTTTAAACAATTTATTGCATAAGAAAGAGCAATCATTACCATGTAAAACATTTGGTAAAATTATGAAAGATAGTGATGTTTAATGTTATCTTTACGCGACAGATAAGAAGACCTACGCAAACCTACAGAGTGAACTTACATGCTCACGTACTTCAGACTTCGCGGATAAAGATAAAATGCTAAGAATCAACAATTTGTTTAACCATTTGGTTGGTACAGAAGGTCATATTTGTAGATTTCCTTTAGTTGTCGAAAAATATCTATAAATTGTATCATAACCTTTGATCCCCAAAGAAGATAAATAAAAATATCAGCGATAATTTTGTCTAGAACTGTTTTTCACCTATGGTATCACCAAGGTCTTTGATATTATTTTGTTGTCCGTTTTGTTTTATAGAAATTTAATAAAATATACTAGCAGACTTTACAGAAACATTGAAGGAAGTAAAAAAATAGGCGATGCAGCCACGATCAGGCGATATTCCTATAGAAATATTTGCAAAGATTTTTATTAAATGTTACCTAATGTGAAGGGCACGAAGTACCAAGTGGTTGGAATAAAGTGTGTACATAATATAAGCTCAATACACAGCAAGGGGAATAAAAAAGTTTGTGCAACGTGTAGAGATATACTTAATACTATTAAGGGAATAAGCCACAATTAAAGATAAAATACGTTATTGACGTTTCAATTTCCACTTCGGAAATCGAACGATTTCCGATGGAATTGAAACGTCAATAAAGTATTTTATCTTTAATGTGGCTTATTCCCGTTAATAGTAATTATTTCATCCCGAAAATGCTTCGAACAATATAGAGATATTACTGTACTAACTTTATGTATTTAGCCGATTTAAATATCGTACAGTACAACATAGATCTTGAAGTTAGTACAGTTAGTTCTATACCCAAACATACAAAAATTCTTCAATATGCTGATGTTGTTTTATATACAGCAGGAAAATTGTTAAGTAGCTGTGAGGATAATTTGAAAGTCACATTAAAAATCGTAAATCAGTACTGTGAAGAAATAGGATTATCAATTTCTGACACAAATAACCTGAGGTGTGTTACTTTTCACAAAAACAGTTCCACAAGGAAATCTTTGTGGGGAAAAAATGTGGGAAATTTTAATATCCCTATAAAAATACCTATCTAGACAGGAAATTGTTTTGAAAAGATGACATTCATCAAATTGTTAAAAATCAGAAAACTCTATGAACATTTTAGGAACTATCTGTAAAACAAATTGGGGAGCAGACCCAAATAATGCTTTGATGTTTTACCGTAACATGATCAGGCCGATTTTCGACTATAACTGTCATTTATTTGGATCAGCGGCCAATACACATCTAAACAAACTTAAATTCAAAACAAAGCTTTAAACAAAAGTTCAAAAAAATAAATGCCTGAAGTTAAACTTGAGGGTCTGAGTGATGCACAGGAGTTGGCTTGTGTAAGATCAAATGAAAGGTATGAAAGAAAACAACCATACTAGTGGAACGGGCAGCTTTGATAATTTGAGGACAAATTGCATAAAAGTAAGAAGGGAGTGTAAGAAGTTAAGAAGAGTACAAGCAGGAGATTTGGAAGAGAGAATAAATGAATTAAAGCTAATGCAGAATGAGATACGTAGATCTAAGAAAGAAAGATGGAGTAACCTGCTTCAGGATCTCGAAAGGGATATCTGGAGGCAATGCTTAAAGATTGTCTGTTACCGAATTGAAGGGGAAAAAGACACCCTACCTCGTGCCTGAGGAGGAGAAACTCCGTTTAATACGGGAACTCTTTCCTCAGGTTGAGGATAGGCGTGAAAGGGTTATTGGTTTCGTAGATGCGGAACCTTTATCCGCATGTACGATTAAGTTAAACGAGCTAGTGACTGCGATCAGAGACGAATCTAACGAAGAACAAAAAATCAAATAGATTCCAGAAATAGTTCAAAATGTAAAGCAAATAACACATAAGAGCAGATAAATTAATCAAGAAAAATTTGGTAGATGACAGATGAGCACCTGAAGCTGATGGACGAAACAGGAAATGACCCAAACAGATATAGAACGATAAATATAACAATAAGAAGAAAAATCAGGGAAGGGAAAGAAAAAAAATTATAAAGGAATTGAGGGAGCCTTGTACTGGCTACCTACATCATGAGAGGTGGAAATCTTTTGATTTCCAAGCCTTACTTCAAAGGACTTGTGAATGGATGCATCTCCATAGGTTTGGTTTTTCAGTGACCGTTGAAGGATAAGGACTTTTAATGTGGAGCAAATATAGCTCCAGAGAAATAAAATCACTTTTGAGTTTATCGATTTATAATTAAATCTTTTAAGAGTAGAGAGGCCCAACACGGCCGCTAACTTACTATACAATATCAAATATACTCTTTCTTTATAACACGTAAAGGAAAAACCGTCATGAGAAAATTGCCCGATTTGGCGGAGAGAGATTATATATTTAACACCGTAGATTGCCGAGTTTTTAACTACCGCTGCGGCGATGCCTCGACGGCCATATGCTCAAACTTGAACTGCTCTTACGGAACTGATAAAACAAACACTATCTAGTTCTCTGACACTACATAATGCGTAAAATGGGAGATTACCCATATTTTATTTAGTTGTGAAAATATATTTAACAGGGTCAGACGTTCAAGCGCAGGGTGGTGCGTTCAACTTGATAAAGTGTGTGTTCTAGTTATTATACACTAAGAAAAGTCAAAGAATTACATTTTTATTTTATATTTTTAACAAACAATATGTTCCATTTCTGGAACAGGAATTATAAAAGATTTATAGCGGATTTAATTTTTGTAATGAAGGAGATTTAGACAAACCATGCTGAGTATAAAGTTATATACAATATATTGATTTCAAATAGATCTCCGATAGAATTAATAGGAAAAAATTCTTTAAACCATTGAGGTAGCTGGATATACCAAGTAAGTTGGTAAGGCTAACAAAGGTTAGTAGAACCAAAAACGAAGTTCTTATTACTGTATTATTAAACTTGTTAAAATATGAGCGTATATTCTGCTAAATGCATTATTAATGCGTGATCCTTGATAATTATCGCATTTATCTCTCCGACCTTTCTTGAATATTAGATATTAGGGTAATCTAAAATTTCTCGCATTCTGCAGATATTTTCTGGGCGTTTGTGCATCTCTGAAATAAAAGCTCTATCAACGTATAGAGTTTTATGGGACAGTATTTAATTAATCCTGCTGGAATTTCTCCAGGACCGGAGGATCCTTTATTTTGCATTGTTTCCGTCTGCAGGTTTATATATAATTTCTTTCCATTCGTTCTTTTTTTGTATATATATTGCCTTGATCCAATATTCTAATAGTGATTCATTTTGTTAATAATATTTTCATTTCATTTTTTTTTTTGTTTTTTTAAATACCTAGTTTTATTAATTATTATATAATTTTTTGTGGGATGCAAGGGATAGTGATGCACAACCTATAGCCTCTCATATCCAAATGTCAACCTCACCTGCCTGCGTGATGATCGTGATTATGGTCATCCGGTGCATCCTGCTAGATAACAAATGCAGAGAACTACGAACCTGAAAAGAATGAAAATAGATTTACTGGGAATCAGCGAAATGAGATGGCCAGGGCCAGAGTCAGGATCATGTAAAAAGGACGGAAAGGTGTATTATATTATTCCGGGTAACAGCATAGAAGACCTGCATCACAAAATTTGGTGGAATGTAGGTATATAGTAACATCAGAACTGAGTAAATATGTCTCGGATAGAAAAAAAATCGTACCAGTCTCGCATAGAATAATATTACTCCAATAAATGCTCAACCATTTAAAACTAACATACTTCAAATCTATATTTCTACACTGCTTACGCGAGACTATCTTTACTCAGTGGCGCGGCCGATCGGGTAGTTTAATGACAACAAATGCATTACTCTCCATTCAAATTAGTTTTAACACGAACTAACTGACCGTACGTTCATAAGATTTGACGTCACGAAGGCGATAACGGTGAAACTAAGCGACAATGATGAGTAACACGTTTCACTATTAGATTTTAGTATATTTGAGCAATTTTCTTCAAAGTTGGAACACGCTTTTCTCGATTATTACTGGACACAGAAAGGTGAAAAAAAATCAACGATTACAGAAAAAAAAACTCTTCAAGTGATGGGCGTAAAAGTTTGGTTATAATAGAACGTATATAAACAGTATAATCCAATTTTTTCAACAGAATTTTCTCAAAAAAAATAAATAAAAGTAAAAGCCATAATTTAAAAGCAACATAATTTAGAATATGTGTGTCCAAATTTCGAGACATTTTGTCGGTACATAACAGTCCCCAAGGTTTTTGTTGCACCGATTAAACATGCCTTTTAAGTAAAAAATTTTCGGTTTTTTAAAAATGTATGTCATTTTGTACACCCTTCCCCTACCAAATATTTTATTTCTCTATCTCTCCCATATACTTCAAGTTTACAAGTATTCAAGGTTTTAATTATTTCATCTATGATGATATTGAATAGAAAGGAGCTCTATATGCCCTCTCACACAAAGCATGATCCCAATTCCCAGCCGAAGTTCACCGTTTCGCCCGTTTTAATTTGGTTTGCTCTGTATATACGTTTCTATAAGCTTGATAAGTTTATGTGATGTTTGTTTATGCCCTGATTAAGCGTTTCCTTCCAAGTCTTGTGTGGTTCTCTACTATTCCTTCCAGGAACTTTCTTAATTCTGTAACTCCACTTATCCATCTAAGGAGTACTATTTCCGCCACACGTATTTGTTGTTCTTGTTTCATTTTAACTTCTTCTTCTTCTCGTGCCACTACTAGCGGAGATTGGAAATCATCATGGCCACTGCGACTTTGTTAGCAGCGCGCCTAAAAAGTTCAATCGAACTACACCCGAACCAGTCACGTAGATTACGAAAGCCACGATATTTTTCTTCTTACCCACACTTCTTTTGCCTCGTAATTTTGCCCT